CGGCAGCGGCCTGACAGACGAGATCGCACAGCTGCGCAAGCCGAGAGGCAGCTGAATGACACAGTTGGGCGAGACGCGGGGGGGAGCGCATTAAGTACGGTGGCTGCAGGGCAGGGCCAAGGGAGAAGGATTCTAGCAGGTGAGGAAGCGAGCGTACGATGCAAGCGGCAGTACGTAATAGGCTTTACACTGTAATCATATAATAACAGCTTAGCTTTGGCTTGCGGCCATATTAGTGGCTGAAAGCTTGAAATTTGTTGTGCTGTCAAACGGACGTTGTTGGGCACTGATTTTGTCTGTCTCGTTGACCATTAAAATATATTCTGGTTGCTTGCGACGAAGGTAGAATCTTGGCAAATATAAACACTGCAGACTGCAACAACACTGTTAGCATTCACGTAACAAATTTATTCTGGATTATGTATTCAGGCGAGATAAAAATTTGCATGTGACTTTGTGTTTCAACTAACGCTTGTGTACCATTCTACTTGACCCGTTGTGAAAATGTTTTGTATTTATGATGGGACTGCCTGACTTGCTTTTTAATGTGCACGTGATGCATGAACTACCATTTGAAAAAACATTATGTGCGGCATTAGCATTCTCGTCGAATCGCGACAAGATTGCCTCCGAGATCGACGACTTGAAGGCAGCTTTTCGGGGGGGGGGGGGGGGGGGGGGGGGGGGGGGGGGACCGGGGCCAGCGAGGAGCACGGAGTCGCAAGCTAAACACGCCGCCCAGGCCGAGTACGAGGGCCCGGCTGGCGAAGCTGACGGCAGGAGCTGACCGGGAGCCCGGAGGCGAGGAACCGCGAGCGCGCCAGAGGCCTGCAACTCGCGCTATATGTTAGAGCAGCTGAACAGGCGGCTGAGACGCGGCAGAAGCAGCTGTCGCGCAGCAAGAAAGCAGGCAAGCCCGTCGGCGAGCACGAGCACGCGAACGAGTAGGACCAGGTAGGGTCTTAATACATAATACTGTGTGTGTTGCCACTCACCTCGACGCGACCTCGACAAAGAAGGGCCGTCTAAAAAAAAATGTATTCCATCTTTTTTTTTCTCTTTTTTTTTTAAACCAAATTGTATGCACTAATTGGTATCACAAAACAAGTGTGATACCATTATATAAATCCTGTAGGCAATACATTATATGTACGCAAGCAAAACAAACATCAACATAAAGGTATCTCCACAGCAAGCACAGCCGGCTGTAGAACCATGCTGAAATTTGTAAAAAGACCGCCCGTCCTTAAAAAAGAAGCGACTTACTAACCGCCAACTTTTCAGCCTGGGTCGGGTGAGGGCAAACAATGATTTTATAGGCCATCATCTGACTATAGTCAGATTGGCAGCTTGTTAGAATCTGAGTTCGTCCGTCGTCGTGCGTGTCAACAGTTGGGCAACAAATCTTACCGCCTCGACGTACGGTCAAGGGCGGAATATTCGGGGGACATGGGGGGGATGTCAAAAACGAGTTGGGAATGTCGAAGCTGGGGTCAAAGGTCAAGGTCAGAGGTGTGAAAGAAGGGGGTAACATTCACTTCGTTAACTTAAGGGTACTAGGAGCGAAATTGCAGAATTGCCGGCACAATCTAAATGGCTCGACCTAGGCTCGTGATAGTTGGGTATAGCAATCATGGTAGGAAAGCTCACTCACTGTGCCGAAATTGGAGGTCACAGGTAAAAGGGGTCAAATGGGCACAGGGCACGATTTTAGACATTTTCTGAGGACCATGTCTGACGGAGCGATTGAAAAACTTTTTTGTTTCAGCGTGACCTAGACATTTTATGGCATTATTGAACGACATGAATCTACTTTCTGTGCTGACATGCGAAGAGTAAGTGTCAGATAACCTTTTGACCCTCAAGAGGAGGGCTTAACATGGATTTGTTGACTGTCTCGTTTAGAAAGAATTTGACTGCCGGTTGCTAGTAGAATCTTATTACATGCCTGTGATGTAGTGAGGCTACAATGGTTCACAGTGAAATTTCAAAATGCTAAATTTGGTTAAAGAAGGTTTATGTCTTTAAATCGTACTAATTTCTATGGGCATTCTGTACTGTCAGTATGTTACGATGATACCGTATGCCACTGCCAGTGGCTGTGCAGTGCATGTTGTTGGTGGTATGTCAGTTTTTGCCTGCCTTAATTGTTACGCAGGTGCAGCCTCTCTATTCTGCAGGCCTGTAGGCTTGCGAGTAAGGGTGAGTGCTTACCTATCTGTCTTAGCAATATAGTTTGTTGCTACCTACGTACGATGGAGTTTCCATCTTTTAATCTTAGAAGACATTTAAACGTACGCGCCATCTCGTGGCAACTTGCATAAGATGCTCAACGAATCATTCCTTTGAGAAGGTCTACGATACCATCCCTGGTGGATTCCACTGTTTCGGCGTGTATGATGAACACATTTTGGATCTGACTAACAGGGTTACTGAATCCCACGCACTAAGAGTCACCGCAGTAGACGTTAGATGAGCGCTGTCGCTCCGCGGCAGCTTGTTTTAATTTGGCCTAACCGTCGACTGCTTTTGCACAGTTGGCCCTGTAGACTCGTTATTGTCTTTTTACGAGGTTTTGCGTCCTATTCGTGTTTCCTAGTGGAGAGTGTACTGCACCGTTTGCAAGTTGGTTTCGCAACCCTCGCGTCTTGTCTGATCGCTTTTGGGCATTTTCTCTTATGCATCTCATTTTCAGCTCGTCCTCAAGAACCTCGTCAACTGCTAATAAAAGCCAATCGCGACGCCTAGCTGCTGCCCAAAAGCATGCCGCAGCAGTGACGTCTGTGTATCGGGGCTCGCTCGCAAGGCGCCACGCCACTGCAGTATCGACCAAATGGCAATCCGGCAGTCAGCAGACGCTACTGCAACGGTGATGCCACACCGTCGTACTGTTGCATTCCACGAAGAGGCAGATAACTGGGTGAGAGTACGCTCATGCCACTCGACTGTGAAAATAATCGGTTCGCCATAACTTATATAGTTAACTCGCAATTAGGTGGAGATTTTACAATAGCTCAAACGTAAACTTAAAATTTTTATTTTATTAACTTGTTGTAGGCAATTTGCACTTGAGTTGCAAATAAATGCGACACATAAAAGGATTTATTTTGTGTATTATCGTAGTTTATGCAATACTTTGAAATGATAAAACCGCGTACCTTTCTAGGTCCCACTATGAAGCCCAACACCTCGCAGGCACCGTGCGCTAACCCAGGCTCCGGCATTCGCAGCAATTATCATCACCCCACGTGGAGGAGGAAGGAGGTCATAGTGCAGGTCAGTCACCACCAGTCGAACACCAGGAGGTTGCGCAGCCAGCTGAAGTGCTGTTGTACTGTGGGATTGGACTTAACTTTCACTGTAGCCAGTATTACAAACGAATCTATAATTTCATTAGGCTTGTGTAGGGCAACCTTTTTAGAGATTTCTGGCTGTGTAATGATGAATTTCTGTGTTTTGCATCCAAAGTTTCCACTAGAGGTATTCCTGACACCATCAGCCACGCAGCAGCCAGCAACAGCAGTCACAACCAACAGCAGCAGCAACAGCAGCATGACCAGCCTGGCTGTGTCCCGCAACAGAGCCCTCTAGAGGCCATAACTGCAGGAAAACGGCCAAGAGAGCAAGAGATAGGCAGATACGACTGTGGCGACAGACAGCTTGCTTCAGTAAACCTCAACGGCGTGGTATTAAAGCGTAATCAACCCTAATTCGAGATAAAAACTGACGCAAGCAATTAGTATTTTTTACTCCTTTTATTTAAGTAAT